TTACGGTTCCCTGTTATACAACATTACAATTATAAACGCATTAAGGCGAGTTGCGAGTACCGTGGGGCCCACATATGTGATTTCGGGACGCAGCGACCGATACTCGGGCAGAATTTCCACGGAGTTAAAAGAAGTAGATAGGAATTCCAAAAATAACTGAAGTATCGTGCTATTAATTCCATTACTTAAAACGTTAAACTTAAATATCAATCGCATATTAACATTTATACACAAATACATGAATACACACACACAAACACATCACATATATATATATATATATATATATATATATAGGGTGGTCCTTAATATGGGCATTTTCGTATTTCCTTGCTCCCAAGGGCTCAAATGGTTCCAAATTGATAAAAAGCAATTCTCTGAAAGTTTTAGCTCTTAATATTAACTTTTAGATAGTGCGCAATTCAATCAAACTTCGTATGGAAATAGCATGAAAAAAAATTTGAAAATTAAAAAAAAAAATTAGGTATAACTTTAACAAATGAGTTAAAAGTGAAAATTCGTGTCATTTTTTATTGAAAATTTGACGCTCTACAAAATTTTTGAAAAAATTTTCATGCTATTTCCACATGAAACTTTGATTGAATTGCGATCTATCTAAAAAACCATATTAAGAGATAAACTTTCAGAGAAATGTTTTTTTTATCAATTTGGAACCATTTGAGCCCTTGGGAGCAAGGAAATTCGAAAATGTCCATATTAAAGACCACGCTAATATATATATATATATATATATATATATATATATATATATATGTATATATATATGCATGCTAAAATAATTCTTGGACAAACCTTTACGTAGACTCAACTTATGGCAGAATCAGGATTCTGTAAGAAAGAGAAAAACATAACTATAATTTTTGAGGAATAGAAATTATATTATATATAGGGCACAAAGATCTAATTTGAATTTGAGCAATTACATTGTAAAAATAAAAACAATTATATCGCAACAAGTAAAACATATCAAACAAACTATCAAACAACTATCTGACTATGTTTAGTAAAAGTCCCAGCTAATTTATCATTGTGGAAATGTGTCTTCTTTTGCTGTTTTTCAAAAATTTGTCTTCTTATCATTTTTATCCTATAGGCGGTGTAAAATAGGACAGCTATGGGGCAAACAGGTTCAACGTTCTATTTATGATTTTAAAGGGATTTTAAGTATTATAATAGCTACATTATTCAAACAAATTACATGGGTACATTTATATTGTATGTAACCTAGAGCTGGTATTTCGTCAGAAATAATCATCAGCAGAGTTGGAATAAATATTTATTCAACATATAATTTGTTAAATTGCTTTTTTTATATTATTTACAATTAAAACTCAGTTTTTAACTTCGTTCTGTTCTTAAAGTTTTAAAATAATTGTATAGATATCGATTCCAATTTTCATGATTACTTTTTTTTCATGTTTTTTTTTTTGATAATTTGTTTTCATAATTAATATTGACGTCAAAATTTTCAGCCCTTATATAATTCAAGGGCTGAAAAACTAGATACTTTCAAATTATAGTCTTTCAAGATATTTTTCAAATTTTCATGAGTTTCAAAATTCAAAAATATCCTCAATTTTTTTTTGCAAATTTACATATTAAGACTATTTTACAAGGTCACACAAAATTATTTTAAATACTAATGAACTTCAGTATCATTCTGAATATCTAATGAACATCAATATCAATTGTTCAAAGTGTTTAAAGTTTATCAATTAGTTTAATATTTAACATCATAAATTTCTATTAAAATTATAATTTCACCGTTAATGAATATGCAGATGATTCTTTCCATACAAATAAGCATCAATGATAAGTCAAAAAGTATGGTAGTATATTGAAGACATTTTACATTATTTTTTTTTTAATTATTGGATAGATACCCAAAAACATTTTATCGTATATATTTCTCCCTCTGTATATATATATATATATATATATATATATATATATATATGCATTATTTGTAGTCGAAAAAAATTGTAAAGTTCATCAGTATTTTAGTCTTTATTATAAAACTCAAACCAAATGAAAAAATTTCTCTGCAAAGTGCTGACATCTACCAGATACATTGTGCTCAATCATAAGATATATTAATATTTCACTTATTTTTAACAAAAATATAATAACAAACCAAATATTTTAACAATTGGTAAAAATATTATTAAAATATTTTATTTTTGCTATAATTCTATTAAAAACAATTTAAAATATTTAAAAAACTGCAATTACAGAAATATAATCTCGAACCATAGTACGAGATTAGTTATTATAGGCACATCAATAATATAATTAGCTACGAAAAGATGATCGAATTTTTCTGTCATCTTTTGTTCTTGACTATTATAAGAAATCGTCGATTTTCATTCGAGATTTTTTATAGTGTTTTTTTTTAGATTTTCTACCTTTTATATAATTATAATTTAATTAAAAATATAATTTACAATATGAAAAAACTGCAATTAAAGAAATATAATCTCGAACCATAGTTCTAGTTGGCATAGTAACAATAATAATAAAAGCAGCTACGACGAGATTGGACGAGATGAGCTTTTGTTGTTGATAAAATCTGTGTTTTGCATTAGATGTTTTTTGTAGTAATTTCTTGAGATTTCTACGTGTTTTATAGCTCGTTTTTTATAAATAATTTTGTAATAGTGGCGCCTTACATTTACGCGTTTGAAAAGAAGTTTTAGTAAATCGAGATTGATAAATTTAAAAGATATTTGATAATTGAGTAATAGACGGGATATGGTAAGTGCATTAAATCCGCCATTTTGTATAAAGTTACATTTTAGTCAAAATGAGTGCTATGTAAGTGAATGTTTATTAATACTATTTTGGATTTTAAAAAGTTTTGCGTATATATATATATATATATATATATATATATATATTAGGTAATAATAATACTTATACAAAGTAGTACACACTCCAGTCAAAATGGCGACTTTATTATATGGCGATATTATTTTTATAATTTTGGGCAGTATTATATACGTGTATAATACAATATAAATTTTATTATAGAAGAATATATATATGTAACAGATTTCATGATTCAAAAAAATTGGACTTTGGTTATTAGTCGAGATTATTAAAATTTAATAAAAAATTGAATTATTGTATAATAATAAGATTATTGGTAGCTTTCATTTTTTATAAACCCAGTACGCTGAAATTCTTTTTTTTTAACTTCCCGTAGGGTAAGTTATTGTAATGGGCCGAAAATCGGAATTGAAAATTTTTACATTTCTCGACGTTTTGAAGGTTTCTGAACATTTTGGCATACTTCAGAAAAAATGGATGTGTGTGTGTGTGTGTGTGTGTGTGTGTGTGTGTGTATGTATGTATGGATACAAATTTTCGCCCACGTTTTCGGGCGTACGGATCAACCGATTTGAATGGTTTAAAAAACATTCGATTCCTATTAATAAGGAGAAGAGCTGATTAGTTTTTGGCAAAGGCAGGTCCAGCAGTTACGGAGATAAGGAGCAAAGAGTGCAGAAAATAGAAATCGAGTTTTTGAGAGAACGGAGCATCCGATTTGAATGATTTAAAAAACATTCAATTAGTAATGATTGGGAAAAGGGGTTATCAGTTTTTCGCAAAGGCAGGCCCAGCCATTTCGGAGATACAGAGCTAAATGTACAAAAAATGGCAGTTTTTGAAAGAACTAAGCGTCCGATTCAATTGATTCAAAGAACTTTCTGCTTGTCTTAACAAAATAATTGATTTTGGAAAAAAAAATTTGTACCATTTTTTTTTTTTTTTTTTTTTTTTAATTTTTTGTATATCGAAAATAATTCAGATTTTATTTTTATTTCTGACTATAGTTTTAATATACTTTAAACAAATAAATTCAACTCTGCAATTCAGTTTATATAATTCTTATAAATATTAGACAATGTTACAATATTTATAATAATCTATTTGAAAACATGCAATATTCCTCAAACATTTCGTTACGGTACGGGAAGTTCCAGCAATTTGCCTTAAGGCACGATGCCACCCACCCCACTAGTTGAATATATATTTTGTATATAAAAAATAATTTCAATCCCAAATATTCATTTTTTTTTTCAAAATGTTCTGTTCATTTGGAACAAAGCCATTCTTATCGATTAGATTAGATTAGAAAACTGATTTTATATAGCAAGTTACATTATTAATTAATATTATAATTTAATATTAGTAGTAACAATTTAATTAAAAGATAGTTAATAATAGTACAAATAATAAACTATAAAAATATATACTTCATGAAACAGTTTTAAAAATTTTACAAAATCTTCATCTTATCTTCAAAAAGATTTTCTAAATTATTTGATCTGTAAAAAAAAGAATCTATAAGAAAAAAATATAAAATATTAAAAATATAAAATATATTAATTAAAACATATGAATAAAAATATTCAATGAAAAATATAAAATATATTAAATATATATATGTATATATATATATATATATATATATATATATAAAATAATTAAGAATACTTTGGCTTAGACAACAGCTTTTAGTTTTCATTCTAACTTACTGAATAATTAATACTAAATTCATTACAATGAAAACGGGCTCTTTTTACATGCAAATATCTATTTTTTTCCAAAATATTTAGTTAGTGTGATATACACGTATATTTTTCATGTTAAAGTCATCAGTCTTGTTTAAAACACAAATATTGATTTAATTATAATAATTTGGAAAGAAAATTAACTTATTGAATATTTTTGAAAAAAAAATCAAAGTTGTTTATATATATATATAGCATATAGCATTAGTGTGATTATTTCAATTCTGACACAAAAACATTCGTTGTTAGTTACTGCTCAATTGCTTTGATTTGTAACAAAATAGATTTATATTAGTTATTCAAGTTATCAGTTAAAAAAAGATAAGTTAGAATTTATGTAATTTAAAACATGCCTTAGTTTAAAATATTTCAAACCTAAATTTGCAGAATAGCAAGTTCAAAATGCAGTCGACTTCTAATTCTTCTTTAAAGGATTCGCAATCAAGCATGTTTGTATCTCGAAAAGTAACCAATAAGGAAATGCATATCGATATTCCTCAAACATCATCTCGTCGTGAAATCCCTAAAAGAAAATTGAATTTGCCTAAAGTCAAAAACAAGAATAATGATAATAAAGATGTTTCTGTTAAAACTGTGATTAAACCTGGCAATAAGAAGTCGCTAGTAGAGCAGGTTAAGACGAAGCAAAAAACTTGTAATTCTCCTAAGAAAAAATTGAATTTACCTAAATTCAAAAACAAGAATAATGACAATAAAGATGGTTCAATCAAAATGATCAATCCGGGCAATAAGAAGTCGCAAGTAGAAAAGGTTAAAACGAAGCAAAAAACTTTGGGTGTACGCTTCAAGGATAATTTACCAGTGAAAACTTTGCGTCATGATATTAACGAAACTCATCCAATGATTATTTTAGAAATCATCGCCTCGCCTAAAGTATCTGCTAAATCCAAATCTTTAACAGCTCATTCGCATCATACCCATGAAAAAGGAGTGGCTGGAGAAACTTCTGAAATACCTTCAAGATCTGAAACTTACTATTTTGTGAAAAGCACAAAAGATGGGGATTCATTATCAATAATATCTAACCAGGAATTGTTGAGTAGTAAATCAGCAATTAAAACAAGCATTCCTCCGAAGAATCAATCAGATGGAAATGGAGATGGAATCAGATCCAACATTAATACCGATACAAGTTTTTTTAATGGCACAGAAAGTGCAGACTCAATATATGACAATTATACTACAAGAAATATATTCAATGAATACAAAAAAATATGTGATAAAGCCAATCCTGATGGCGCAATATGTTCAAGCACCCAAATATCTGAAAATAAAATCAATATACCACCAAATCATCTGAGTTATACGTTTCAGAACAAATTGGAAACGACAAATGATACACGCAAAAACTCCAGGAAATTATTTTCAGAACCGATGAACGAAGCAGCCTCTTGTAATGGACGAATACCCTTACTCGAGTTTGGAAATTGCCCAAATAGTTTAACTAGATTAATAGAAGATCGTAAGAAAAATAATTCTACTGTGAATCTAGAGTTTGGTAAAAATCAAAACAGCAAAATAACTATTCCGGATCAAGATATATTTGAAAATGAGGAAGAACTTTATGAAAACCACTTAAGAGAGTTTCGTAATGATGCTAACCTAAGTTCAAGTGAATCAACAAATAAATATTCGAATATAAAAGATTTAGTCACAAACGATGTGATTAAAAAAAGCTCTAATGTCATTCGGAATACTAGCAACATATTAATTAATAATCCATCACCTAAAGTCTCGCAAGTTCAAACACCAACATATCAACGTGAACATTTTCAAGAAGGAAATCTTGCTTCTAATTCGATCAAAGATAGTAAAACTAAAAAAATCTCAAATAGTAATATTAATGAACAGCATCATGACATATATGAGCCAAAACAGAGTATCTCTAGACATGCATTGCAAGATATTTCTGACATAAATAAAAATTTCAGCGCTAGTGTATTTCAGGAAGCTTGTGAAAATGTTTGCGCTGAGAAGACTAATACAAATTTACAATCGGCAGAAAATCGTGATGAACAATATAACCAGAGTAATGTTAATAACCAATCTCCTGATAGTCCTTTTAATATGGAAATTTTACTGGAAAATAGAAATCGCCGAGATAAATGGAAGATAAGACAAAAATTTGATTGCAATGGCGAGCTGAGAAAGCCACCGCAAAAACTAAACATACCAATTCCATTGGTGAGAGAAATGATGCAAATCCCATATTATAAACCTAAGTCAAGGCTCTATAGCAGCCCATATAGCAAAGACTACACAAGTTCCGGGGGGTGCCAGTCTTACAAGGACTATCTACTTAAAAAGGATCTGTACGAACAGCAAAAGCTAAAACACGTTCCACGAGTCGATCCATGTCAAAAAGAACCGCATCCTACACCAACATTCAGCAGAATGAATGTCGATTTTCTGGAGGCATACATGTATGAAATTTCGATCTTTTACTCGAACCAAACAAATTTTGATTCTTACTTTAAGGAACAAGAAATGGAAAGGAAAGGAGAGAAATGAACGATTCAAGCAGATAATAAATGTAATGTAATTATTTTATTATAATCAAGAAAGTAAACATTTTGAAAAATATTTATATATATATATATATATATATATATATACTGTTTTTATAGTATTTTCAATATAACTTAATATTTGTAACTATTGTTTTACTTTATTTTAATTTTTAATAGCCTTTGGAAGCTTATGTAAACCGGTCTTTTTAAATATCAATATTTTATCAACAAGGTGTATTTAAAAACACAAAGCAACAATCTCAACCTGCATGAATCCGTTTTATTTAATATGTATTTAAATAATTTGACCAGTATGCTGGTCAAGGAGAAAATTTGTATATTGACGTGAAAACACGCCAAGCTTAAAAATCAGTGAGCATATTTGAATAGCAATTTTTGAGTGAAACGAAATATAATTTTAAGATGTTTTGAAGCTATGTCGGTATAAAATAAGTAGTTATGAGTAACCTAATCAATAAGAATTCAGACATAGCTAATGAATAATAATAATGGGTAGTACTGTCATACTATATTTTTTGTTTAACACATGTGTGGCGACACAAAATTGTGCCAACCGTTGAAAATACAATTTGGAGATAGAATATTACAGTAGAGAGTAAAACGCGGTTTAAAGAACCGCGGGTAAAAAGGACCACCACCACCAATATCTCAAAAACGGATGGGGTAAATAAGACCAACTGATTCTTTACCCTGAGAGACACCAATAAAAAATCGTAAATTTAATTACGTAAAAACGTAAATTCAATTTTGCAATAGGAAAGTTAAATTGATAGTTATTCCAACTCTCTTGATAAATATTTTTTGACGAAACGCCAGATTAAGGTTATCTTTATAGAAAAATGTGCCTATAAAATTTATATTCTGCATTGTTTGAATATTGTAGCTATTATTTTCTGAAATCTCCTTAAAATTAAAAATAATACATTGGATCTGTTTGCCTTGGCTGTACTATTTGAGGTCCATGAGATAAAAAGACAAAGATGGCAAATTTTACAAAAATAGTAAAAAACACATTTCTATAATTAGGAAATAACTGGGATTTTTAGAGAACATAGTTCGATAGTTGTTTATTTGATATGTATTGTGATGTAGTTCATTTGGTATAGACAGTATAATTACTTAAAGTCAAATTGGATCTTTGATTCAATCTCGCCCTACCCTGCTGATGATTTTTATCGAAAACTATTAACGGTATAATTTTATCAAGTAAGGATAAAATAAAAGATGTATGATGTAAATTCTAAGCTCCGAATTACCCTAAAAATACTCCCAGACTAACTAACTGATTAAAACAGTCTACCGCAAACATCCGCCGAACTAGTGAAGATATTAAGTGGCACTTTAATACAGTTTCTTGTGTGTGTAAACTAGTAACGAAAACGCAAATATATTGCGGGATTAACTGTCACACATTTTTTGCACTTCAATATTGGAGAAGACCAAAATAAGCACTTTATACCATAATAAAAGTTAGATTGTTAAGAAATTACATTGGTATATGTAAGGTAACCATATTTTTTGCATGAAATCCGGGACGGATTATAATGCGCGTGAGAACGGGGGAGGGGGGGTGTTGTTGAGCTAAAAATTTATATGCACATTTTTTCGGTTCCAATTTTCTAGTTGAGAATATTTTAAAAAAATATTGGCAATCAAAACGTTTTAAAAAATCCGGAACAATCCGGGACAAAACACCTAAAACCGGGACGCAAGGCGGAAAATCGGAACTGTCCCGGCCAATGCGGGACGTATGGTCACCTTAATATATGGCACTTATTGTTGGTTAAAAATATTAGAAAAAACACGTTTTGTATTAAATCGAATTGGCTCGAGAGACAAGACGGGCATATGGCTTGAGAAAATTTTCTTGATATATTTATAATATTTTGACTACTTAACTTGTCTTAACTGCACAAGTATTTGGAAAGAAAATAGCTATTTATTTCAAGAATGAATAATTATTATCATACTAAAGAAAAAAAGAAGTGCTAAGCTAACAATAAATAAATAATAATTTTATATTTTAAAACACAATTAATGGTTTTAATCCTTTTGCTACGAGCGTCGCCTGAGGACGACATCCAGTCTGTCGGCTTTTGCTGCAATATTATTACTTAGCGTAAAAAATTAAGAATTCTAATTTCTAATCATAGTTTTTAGTTCTTTAGAAGTGTAGATTTTTATTTTGAAATACATTTTTATGGATAGTGATTAGAAAATGTCAAAATAATTTGCGTGACATATAATTTTTGCAGTTTGTATAGCAGTGTCAATTTTTCTGAAAAACCCACCGTAGCGAAAGGGTTAATATTGTGGCGATATCAAGCAGGCTGTTTTTGATTTGTAAAAAACAATCGGACATGTCATATATATTTTTGGATATCGAAATATTTTTACAGTTAATAAATTTATATTTTTTTATTATGTTGGGAGTTTCTAATTAAATATATTATCATAATCATTACTACTCCCACATTGGTGACCCCGACGTGATCGATGAAGATAAGGAGTTTTTTTTTCGAAGATTTAAGAAAAATTGATTTTGACGCAGCACCATAATCACTGGTCTTCAGTGACGACCTATAAGGTATGTCCAGTCCATCCATCATAGTTAACGCACTTACTATCTGGATCAGACTTCCGAGGTTACTCATTTGGTATACCCAGACCTCAGTGTTTATTGCTGAAGAAAAATAATTTGGAGCCTGAACTTTTCATTGGAATGGCAATTCAACCTCTCTTTCTCTGTTACTCAACAAATCGTCTTATAATGCTACCTCCCATTTTCGGTGACAACGACGAATCAAAACAAAATTTGACATAATTTATTGGATTCCACAATTCTGGACTCTTATGTCAAAGAAACCAATGATCCTGATTTGGATAAAGAGCCAACTTCTTTCTCTGATCGGAACTCATCAGATACGAATGCAACGCTTGCAGAAATGGAAACTGTACCCATAAATTATGCATTCTAAACATTAAGTTATTCTGATATAACTAATACCCATTAGATCGAGAACATTATGCAGAATATGGAGTTGATGGCAGGTCAAATCACCGCATACGGTGGATCTGCTGACGAAACATTGAAATTTGTAATTGACCAGTATTACAACACTGGTCTGCTATAATCTGCTTTCCCACCACATTTTTATAACGTGTTTCCCTGTATTTTTTTTTAAACTGTGAGATCAACACTGGGCAGGGAGTGTGTGGCGATATCAAGCAGGCTGTTTTTGATTTGTAAAAAACAATCGGACATGTCATATATATTTTTGGATATCGAAATATTTTTACAGTTAATAAATTTATATTTTTTTATTATGTTGGGAGTTTCTAATTAAATATATTATCATAATCATTACTACTCCCACAATATAATATAATCACAACGCTAATAATTTTTCATTTTCAATTTTCATTTTCAATTTTCATTTATTGAAAAAAATTAATAGAACCCTATAAAATTGGAGACAATTTAAATTTACAAAACCATATAATTAATGAAGTAAATATTTTGCTTTAATAAATCCAATTTTGTTTAATAACAATCAAATTTTACGAGTTTTATGAGCTGTTGCGATTATACTTCTTGTAACAATCATTATTAAACTAAATGATTCATTAATTTATTGTAAAATATGAAGTCTTACAGTGCTTTATATAAATTTTTTTAATATATTCAAGAGCATGGAATTTTCACTTTAAAAAGAAGAAAATAAATATTTTGTACTTATTTTACCAAATCAATTTTTATTTTGTTTTTGAAAAGCAATCAGAACTTAAGATGTTCTGTTGATGATAATTTTTAATCACGCGACTTTTTAGAAAACACATCAACAGTTAGACTATCTCTATTTTATTTATTTTTATTACTCGGATCCTCTAATAGTTAAGATTTTTAATTTGATGCAGAAATACCAAAAGAAAGGTTATTGTTTTTAGTTGGATTGCATTTTTATCTATATTTTCAGTTGAAAACTGATATCACTACTTGTTCAGACGTCTTTTTGTTTTATTATATTGGCCATGAAGGTGACAAACTTCAGGGCATTAAGCTTTACACGGAATGGTTGCTACCCCTGGTAGAGGGGGTAGCTGAGTGTTTTAATTGAACTAGTTGTTCACTTCTAAAAGTGAAGTCCGCTTAACAATATGTATAATAATGAATAAATATATCTTCTTTCATTATAACTTAGTAACAAATCAGTGATTGAAATTAGAACTGCAACAAATACATAATATACAAACAAATCAGTGTTTAATACAGTCCACAGCTACAAGGGTTAAATTAAAACTCAACAACCTGAATTATCGAAGGAGAGTTTTAATAAATTCTATAACTACGTAACCAAGCGTAAAATACACTACCTCTTGATATCAGGTTGTCCGAAGTGGATATCGAAGCACTTAGGTTATAAGGCTTGGTCTCATCACAAGGCAGCGAAAAGACCACTAAATCCAATTGTACACAAATCGTAGTTTAATATAACTGGGTTTCGCATTCGGCATATAAATTATTTCAAAAACGACCATATAGTCGTACTAATAAAACTTACATTAAGATTTTAATTCTTAAGAATTAATGGCTTGCAGTGTTAAAAAATTACGGTTAGAGTTTCTTTACCAGAGGTTTTTGTGTCTATAATCCAATATTACTTAAACCACTAAGGAATCATTCTGTCCTTTATATGAGGGTTATTTATGAGCAAAAACATTATTCGTATGTTGACAGCGGTCAGAGCATGATAGCGTGGCGGTCAGTTCATGCGGCAGATTCGGGAGAACGAACCCTTTCGAGGGTGAACAATGTTAGAGGATTCATAAAAACGCGGTGATTTGTGAGCAGTTGATAGTGACTATATAAAGGCATTTGCCTAAGTTATCACACTTGCTTCGATTCAATTTCACTGTTCAAAGTGGTGAATACTGAACTTGAACGAGAGTCAAACTGGTATAAATTATTCTGGTGAGTTC